AGCACTTAAGTAACAATTTTAAATAATTTCTCAGCGTTTTATAGGTTGTATGGATATCATTTTTTTTTTTGTAATCGACTTTAAAATGAGAACTGCAGGTCAATTATTTATATTTAATATTTAAATATACCTAGACAAATTAACCAGAGCTAATAATTTATAGGACTCTATAAAATGTCTAAATTACAATCACCCAAATCAATTACAAATAGTTGAACCATAAAAGGGGTGATCGTTATAATAGAAACTTTGCTGCAACTCGACGAATCTAGCATTTACGGTCGTTCCAATGAATCGAACCATTTTTAAATCTCCAACAGTCATACGCCATATAAAAATACTCAAATATATAATTTAACATCCGAAGAAACGCCTTGGGTTATATTTCCCCATACCATACGCTAAACGTGTAGTGAAATAATATTAAATTCCAAGTTGTCAACCAGATGGAGGTTTCAATGAAAATAGGTAGTTTTAAAAAAGATGCATTTTTTTCCATTCATTTTCCACCAAATAGACATTTTTATCATTTCAAACTTGAAAAAAAAATGAAGGATTACATTTTCTTGTACCCATATTTACATAAAATTGAATTGGTACCACTTTATGAGTTTTAGACAATATTTTATTATACATCTTTATGTCTTATTTATTATTTAGTCGTTTTTCTACAGAATAAATTATTTTTTTAATATATTCTATAGTTTTAACGCAGACCTCGAGTATTGTTTGAAGTACTCAAACATTTTAAACATATCGGACACATATAAAATAAACTATTGTAGATTAGTGATAATTTTAAACTCAAGGAGAACACAATTTAGATACATCAATAATAAATGTATACTTAAATGAGTTACCTACTAATATTTTGAGTAGTTCCTAAACATAAACGAAAAATAACCCAATCGCTTAAAAATGTTAATACGAAATGTACATAATATATAACTTATAGTTACGTACATAGATAATATTATAAGTAATATAGACTGTATTTATATTTAATATTGGTTTTTAGATTTAATCACAAGTGATTCACAACAAACCTTGTCGATTAGATGCATATAGTTTTGCATCAACACTTAATACAACACAGTACCGTACGGATAGTTTTTTTGTGTAATATTAATTCAATTTCACTTTTAAATTTATTATTTGTCTATATATAGACTTGTATATCACGTACTTATACTTAGTATTCAAGTTTATAGTCATTAGTCAAACTAAAATGAACTTTAACACGCATCATAAGTATAGGTACTTATACTTGTAATAATGATATAAACATTTAAAATTGAAATTGATAAGTGACTTAAAACTTTAAAAGCAAAACATTTTGTTTTAAAAGAATAAACAAAATTAAATAACATCACTTCTAAAAACAAACAATTTTAAATAGATTAAGTACAATTGTTCACAAACAACTTTAAACAGTGAAATTAAATTTCACACTTTTACTTAAAATTATTCCGCGATTGCATTGTACCTACTTATAATATAGATACATTCTTAGGACTATATTTACTATCGACTAATGCAAAATTCGCTGTTTCCTATGTATGTCAGTGAATATCACCATATGATATGTATATCATCGCACTATAATCACCCTTTTTAAGTGCAATGGGTCAAAATAAATATGATAATTAATGTATAACAATCATATAATATTAGTTATTAATATCTTGTAACAAAAGTTTATAGATAAATAGGTACATTCGATTTATTTTTTCTACCTCATAATATATTGTATAATTATTATTGCCGTATTAAATATTACGATTTTTGCGATTTTTGCTGCTGCAGATAAATTATATTTTTAGTACTTTCGAAATCTCATTAAACCAATATACCTGCCACCTATCTAAATATCTGATACATCATTTCGGATGTATGTATTGTCATGGATTAAAATATACTATATAGGATAACTACAATCATTTTTTCACCAACATTCATATTTATTCAAAACCAGACTAGAAGGTATAATAATTTTCGACCCTCGATCACTTTAATACTCCGAGCCAAGTTTTTACGTACCTATACATATAATAATCGATATAAAATATAAAATAAACTTCGTCAAGTATTTTAATAAACGGGTTTTGTTCAATATCGTACAAAATATATATTCGTCTGTGATATAATTGTTCACACTCTTTAAAATTTAAATAAAAAGTTGTGTACAATACTGTCATATAGTATTATAATAAATTATTTGCATACGTCTTCGTCAAAAATGTGTCATACGTTATTAATTTTCTAGTTTATTAGGAACAATTAAAAAAACAATTTTGTGCATAACGGAAAAAAATGCATTCTATAACAACTGTAATTTATATTTTTCAAATAGAAGTGTATGGAGTATAATATAATATTATGTTGTATAGTGCAATATCTTCATACGGTCGAATAAAATGTAATATACAATATAATCATATAATATATACCAGTGAGCGGGTCCTGCGGGGAATCCTTATCCAATACTCCGCGGTCGGTTCAATTTTATTAGGGTACCTATATCGTACTATCTATATTGTCCCGTTTTACGACGGCGGCCCCGACGACGACGACGACGATCATATTATTATGGGCTATGGCTCTTTCATCAAAACATTCTGAAACGAGGATCGGTATGTAGCCATATAATAATGGTCATAAGCCGCCTTGAACACGTACCATATATTATATTATAATATAAATGTGTGTGTGTGTGTAGGGCCGTCCAAAAGCACGGGTTGATTAGGCAGTCAATTTTCTCTCGTTTGTTGAAAAAAAAAAAACTGAAAACAAAAATGACCGAAGGTCTACTTGCGTAACCGGCTATTTAAATGTTTTATCTCCGTAAATATATACGCGCTTAATGCCAGTTTCACTTTCGTGTGATATATTTGTAAAGCACACGTATGTCCTCCTTTTTTTCACATTTAACGCGTATAATACGTTTTGTATATGTCTCCGTGTGTGCGAGTGTGTGTGTGTGTGTGCAGCGTAGTTTTAAAACAAAAAGTATAATATTTGAATAACTACCATTATAATGTGTAGTTACGTACGTGTACACTATGCACTGTGTACCATCATATCCTTTATATACATATACGTTATGTCAATATGCATTCACCTGCGTTCATTTTTTATTATGTCCCGAACTCTCTGGGGCCATTGTATACATATTATGCTCGTATGTATCATGCACAGTTGAGATTTCAGTGTCTGGGAGGATTCAGAGGGTCATTATAACCTGCACCCATCCTCCTCCTCCCACCGCACAGTCGTCTAAAATCTATAAATTGGAAATTATAATATTTGCATTATATCGATTTCTATGAAACAATAATAACATTAAAATCCGAAATCGGAAGTTCACCAGGAATACGAATCGTTTAGCTAAGCGCCTCTTTCAAAATCGCGTTATTGACACCAAGCAACTCGGTGGCGTATCCAAACTACGAAAAATAAACTAATAATTTAAACTGTTCATAATGTAACAGGATCAGGTAGTACGTCAGTTGCCTGATGATGCTGCATACAAATATCACACATTTTCTCTAACGTCTATCTCGGATATCCTCAAAGCACGAGAAAATTGTTAAAACTTGAAGTTTGTCCGCAATTGTACGTCCCGAGTTTCAAACTTCTCGAGACCGTGAAAAAAATTACTTCATTCTATACTACGGCAGTTTTATATGATAATTTGTTATAATACATTATATGTGGAAGTGTAAATATGACTATTGACTATGCCCAAACAATTACCCAATGCCCATGACTTACTAATAATATACAAATAAGTTAGCTGTTATATTAAATTGTAATGAATTGTTTTATATCAACCACTATACCCACCACCCCACCACTATTTTCATTTACTCAACTGCGTAAATGTAACCTCGTTCACGACGCCACTGCAGTATACAGTCAGTGTCATCTATAAAGACGACGGCTAAGGGACCGTAAAAAATAAGTCGTTATAACCAAATGTCGTTGTATAAATGTACTTATGAACTTTTGCCAGGGCCTTGAAATTAACGTCGTTATACCCCATAATATTTCGTTATGACCGCCGTCATTATAAATGGTATACCGGCTGTATTACATTATTGGATTACTGCCTTGGCTGATTGTGGCGATCTATGAATGGAAAATTTGTCTTTCGTTCGACGACTGGCCTGAGACGTCCAGAACCATCTGCTGCGAGTAGATTTTCAGATGTGCATCCCGACGATGCACCTAGTTTAGAAGAGGGGGGAACGTCCTTGTCACGATGTATCGTCCGTTTCGTATCGAATTATCTTATTATTTTTGAATCGCGTTAAATGCATACCATACGCTGGTGTTCCGCCAAGTCATTGCAAACTTGTATAGTCGCAGTAATGAAGCAACACAAACAAGCTGACACCGCGGTCCGCGTATTCTGCATAGGTATAATAACAGCAGGTTCCTGCGTAATGCGTCATAATGTAACACGATATTATATTGTCATAAACGACCTAATATTGACTTAAATTGTGAATGTTCCTCGTAATCGCAGAGACGGGCTATAGTTTATTGGGTCTCGTACTGTCGTCTGCAGGAGTGAGACTTGATGCATCTTGCGCCCGGATAATTTTTCTGTTCCAAGTACTTCCCGGTTTTATACCGGGTACTTAAACTAAGCTGGAGAAAAAGATCATCTCTTCGGCTGGTGACGCGTGATGGGTTACCTACGTATATCTACCTACGCATATAATTATTAGTCTGTCGGCCGCCCTACCGCCCGTCGGCTAGAATCGCGGAAAACCGACCGCGGCACTTACACAACAACAACAACAACAACAGTCATAACAATTATAACAATCGTATTATTATAACCATTAGAGACGTGCTGCAGTCCGCGGTGACGTCAACGTCGGCGTCGACGACAGAGCACGTGACCCGCCGCAAGGCCGCGTCGCCCGCCCGTCCGCCCGCCCTAGGTCCGCGTAGATTCGCCGTGGCCGCGGCCGACGAGCACGCCGTCGTTTAAACGATCGCCAACGTGCGTGCCGCCAACACACGCGCGCGCGCAACCGTCCGCCGACAGTAATATTTCGCCAACACTTGCGACCCGTCCGGCAGCAGATCGACCGCTCCAGCACGACGACAACCGCGATAATTGTACCTACATAAATCGAATAATTAACAGCGACGGCAAATAGTCACTAAAACAATTGTGTAGGTAATTATAACGCGATCGCGATCGACGCGGGTGCTCCGACCGTCGACGCCGCCGCGCCATGGAATCGCGCGGGGCGCTGCTGCTGTTGGTCGTGTACGTCGCGGCGTTCCAGCGACCGGCGCACGGTAAGTCTGAAAACATCGTCCCGGGACGGCGGAGTTCTTCTTGTCTTGTCCTCTCTTTTTTGGGTTTACTTTAGATGTACAATGTGTACGTCATAGGTATTGCTTTGAGATGCACAAAGAGCCCCGCAGTTGATTCGTACCGAAATCGACCCAAAATATATGCGACGCGTAATTAGCACCGACACTTTTGCAATGTACGCTCGTAACAATTTGTCCTTAAACAAAGATATTATTTGATTTGCGCCGTCTCCGGTAGACAGTGAAACACATGAATTGAGATTTGCGCCGAAATTCGATTAATCTATCATTTTTTTTTCTGATAGTACGGGTTTCGATGGTATACTTAATATTGAGATTGTATGTATGAGAAGCTATCAACACAAAATATTCCATTTTAGTTACTCGCCGATGATTTCACGAATCTATTCACACCTTTCTAAAGTACGTCAGTATAATTGATTTTAAAAGCTGCCCGACAACAATGACAACATAATATATGAAAAACATACATACTAGGATGTATATAGAATTATAATAATTAATACAAAATGTTATAAATTAATAAATGTAATAGTGTAATACTGTGTAGTAACGCGATTGCGATCGATCGAACGTCAAACTCTGTAATGATTGGTGCAAATTACAAACACTAATTTCGGCTACCTGCGATGGCGCAAATAACAATGTATAATATCTTTATTTTGGTGAAAATTACAAGCTTTCATATAAAACCGACTTGACACTATACCCAGTTTCGAGTCAAATTCAGTAAGTCTAAATATACGAATATAATATAATAGGTAACAAAATGTGAACAATTTTCTGGCCCATTAAAAACGGTAAGTTTGCCTATCAATATTTTGTTCTTATGCGAAACTATCCACCTTGTGACCTCACATCCCAAATGCCGCTTATGGGTGCATCTACCTTGTTAAGGAACCCAAATTGTTCAGGTTATTGAATGAAAAAAAAATGTTAAACACCATTCATAACTTATTATAAGATATGTTTAACAACTCTAAAAAGTTTTTAAAAAAGGATTTGTGTTAAATGTTTTACGCTATTCACATTATGCGGCAGTCGGTACACTTGAATACTTGACCCGGGTGCCGTGTGGACTCGCAGTGTGAGTTAGCCAACCAGAAACTTTTCGAAAAATGTTTTGGTGGATCTCCCGTAATAGTATTTATTTTTCTTTGAATGGGTACTTTATTTACCCGTCAATATAATATTGTATACAAATATCAATAAAAAATATTAAAATGTCCTTGCAGCACACATTAATCGTCTCGATTTGAAAATGTACCTATCTTTTTATCTGATCTGACGGTCATTTTTGTTTTATTTTTGTTCTTGGGTCGACCGGATGAAACCACGAGTTAAAATATAGGTTTTCTATCCTTTATCTTATATTTGTAATGCTATAACTTGTAAGTAAGTACCTACGTGATAATTGTATATATTATTGTACAATTGTACACATTATTAAACCTGTGCTCTTGTGAAATCTGTCGGAACCGATAAATACGTTACTGTGTTACTACTTACTTAAACTATTACGTGCCACATAACTATTATTAATTTATGACCCAAACATTACCAACATATCTAAACGCGGAATAATATTGATTTACTCAGATCTTGCTCAAATCTATTCCTTAAAAGTTCGGTTTCTGATTTATATTTAACTATCATATTGAGCACTTGAAAATTATTATTAAAATATTATTATTAATACTATAGATATATTTCGTTTTTGATCTCACTATTAAGCAACAATTCAGGAATAAGGAATTTTAATTATTGGATTGGCCATTATAGGAATAAAATTAATCGATTATGTTTGCAACATTTATGTCACTTACTATAATTTACAATAGAATTACTACTTTTTAGAACAAATAATAAATGTAACTGAAGTCAAAAAGTCAAAAACTTAGATTGGTCATTTTAGACCAAAGCCACGGGACACGGATATAAATATTTAATGAATTCTTAAATAATGGTTAAACTTTAAATTATACCATATAATAACGTGATATATTATATCAAAAACATAATAGAATTTTCAAAAAAGTAATTCGATTACAATAGTCGATAAATCTAATCATAATTTGTGAATGCATTATATAGTGTTCACTATATTATTATAGTGATGATCGTTATGACCACCACTTACGTTGATTTGCAAGCTGAAGATATTAATGATATTAAATTTATGAGTGATATTCTGTTTTCCGTAAAGGATCTGAGAAAAAAAACATTAAAAAATGGGTTTCTATTCCTTTTTTTTGATTGATGTGACATATGGGCGTTTGGTGTATCTGGCAGTTAACATTTCTGACCTTTTTTTGTTTATTTGATGTATTAATATAATATTAGCCATTAGATATTTATATATATATATAGAAATTTAGTTATTATCATATTAGTAGGTAATCAATATTGTATGCTTTCGTTGCTGATAGTTTTTAAGGCATTCAAATTTGGACCCAACTGCAATAATCATAAATTAAACATATTTAACAAAATATAAGCTACCTGTACAGAATAAGATGAGTGTAGTTGTTATACATGATTTACTGCAATGTGACACGAAAACATTTACTAATAAAAAAAATAGTGTCACACAAATGTCTAGAGGCTGTTGCACTAATAACTATAATAAGTGATAAATATTCACAGATTATGCTATGCTTACAGGTATGTAAAATACTACATCTTCATGCATCCATTCTTTCCGTTAGCTACTATAACGAATATTTAATAACTCGACTCTATAGCAAAGATATTGTTACATTTTTATGGTTAGGTATAACTCCTGCTGTAAATGATCTCATTTTTAATTTGTGTCGTACATTCGTTCGTATACATACCATAAAATATATAATTGAATTTTACTCGAAAACTTTTTTAGTAAATTGTAATAACAATAGTTGTATTTTTGGACTATCGCATTAGTAGTTCTACAAAGTTTCATTATACTCTTAGTACATTAATTAACTTTATTAATTCTTATTTCGTGATTTATTTAATGTTCTCGGCACGTTATTTATCTAAATTAAAGAACGAAATTAAATAATCATACTAACTTAACAAATGTTAGATCAACAAAATAAATTTGCTTACTACCTAATTAAAACGACGTTCGAAACAGAAAATCGTTAAAGAATTATTAGTTGTTTAATTGCCACACTGAATATAATATATAAACACTTATTTATTAAACAGACATGATCAGCGGGAGCTTACAATATTTATATCACGAAATTGATCATGACACATGGTATTTTATAAAATAAGCATTCATTGTTTTCAACTGAGACCACCTGTGTTATATAATAATACAACGTGAAAATAATACACAATTGAGTTGACCTTCAAAATTAGATATACCGCACGCCTACAAAGTGTATTGTTAAGTTTTTCATATACTGTCATTTCGGTATACTTTCGCTTTTTTTTAGTTGAAAAGAACAACTTGGATAGATATGAAAATTTCATAATTTCAGACTTTTATAAGCATAAATTGTTTCTTTTTTTTAACTAATATACCTATCTACTATTGTTGTGTGCTATCTCTACATTGTTATTACTCATTGCAATTTAAAATTAACATAGTAGGAAGGCATACAATTTTGAATTTGCTTGCATTTACATATTATAGTTTTTATCCCGTGATATATAATATAATAGCGACGGACACGTTTTTGAATAACTGACAAGCAAAAGTTGTTTTACCTGCGACGTGAGTCAAATTTGTAGACACTTCTACATTACTGATTAATGATTTAACTCGGATGCAGACACAATGTTATTAAATTATTGGCTTTATGATATGAAACAAATGTCTAAAGCCACTACACTGCCTCCGTGGCTGTGTATAATAAACCGCGTGGTCAGCGTTCAGAATTTTCTCGTTATTCGCCAAATTAAATAATATCGTGTAAGTAAACATATTTCACTAGTAATTTATAACCACCTGAACCACGGCCGCGGAATGGTTGAGTATATTTTCAACTATTCGGTATATTGTGGTAACGGGTTAACCACACGCGGTTCTCACGGAATACGGAGACAGTGTATTAGCAGCCCCTTTATGCCATTACAATGATAGACATAATACAGTAGAACCCGCCTAATTTGGGCACCGGTTAATACATGCAAAATGGTCTGGTCTTAATTCCAATGTATACTACAACTAATTATTCGGTTTATACGTCCAACCGCTTATTGTGGGCAAATGAGTTAGGTCCCCCGGGGATCCCTAGGTGTCCACATTAAGCAGAAACCACTGCGTTATGATGACAAACCATTTCAATCGATCGGTTATATTTAAAAATACATAATATGTAATTATTGTTAATAATGTACCTGTACCCTTGAAATAATAATTATGATATTATTCAAACTCTGATTTTTTTTTTTTTTAATTACAGGTCAAGACTGTCCAGATGGCGTTCCGGTAACGTACGTCAAATACAGCAATTCTGCTCCGAGATCTGTGGTACAGCCGATCTTATTGTACGCCAGCACTCCCGGAGTCGCCATAACGGCAGAATGTTACAACAGGTAACAATTAAAAACCACACGATCGCTTTAAACGTTTTCATCCGTCTGGTATTATTGACATCCGTAAATAATTTTGAATTGTAGATGTAGAAAGTCTGTGGACTGCGCCGGATTCATAATAGATTACACGTCAACATCGTGTTACCGAGTGCCCAACATGGGAAGTTCCACCGACAATATTGTCGTGACCCCAAATGTAAACTTTTTTAGGAAAGCCTGTCTCCGCGGTAAGTGCTCGGTATATATTTTGTACGACCGTGCTAGTCAAATATTTGCCCGCGACGTATAGGAAAGCCAACGTCATAAATATTTGATGTATTTATATTATTAGTTCCCGAATCATGTAACCGAAGAGCCTGGCCAATCGAGGTATCCATGGACTACGAAATAAGCGGTTTTCAATACTCGGTCGTGCCCAATGTCGGCGACAAATGGCGATGTGCCCAACTGTGTATTGACCAAAACAACTGTAAGTCAGCCAACTACTTTCGTTTAACCAAGATGTGTTCTTTGAACTCCGAAACCCGTAATACCAAACCCACTGCGTTCAATCCAAGTCGGAGTCAAGTCGAATATTTAGAAAACGAATGCGCCAACACACTGCCAGGTTAAAAAAATATACACTATTTCATACCTTATACTTATTATATAAAATATGATATAGAAGTATTAAACAACGATTTGATTACTTAAGGTGCAAATCAAATCAGTTCATGCTGGCACGAACCTGTATATGATAGAACTTTACAACAAGTGGACTTACAAGTAGAAAACATTAATATTGAACAAGTATGAAGTCACAGCGAAGAATAATTAATTAAAAAATAAATGGCTATTAATTATTATTATTTTATTATGTATATAGTGCAAAGAGAGATGTGAATCGGAACAATATTTTAGCTGCAGAGGTTATACTTTTAAATGCCCTACGGATGGGTTTGGCGGGACTCTTTGTCTTTTACATGGTGACGATACAAGCACAGCTGGCTCACTCATTCCATCGCCATGTTCCACTTATATAGAAAGAATCACTTGCATCGATTGTAAGACAACATTTATTTTTCCGAACTTATCGACTCGAAACATATTTAAACGTGCCTATACTAATCACTCATTAAAAGTAATTGTATTAGATTTCCAATTATATTTTTAGCCCGGTACACATAATTATTATATAGTTTGATGTATAATATTATATTGATATTATACAAATAGGTATATAAATTCCTTGAATATTCTGTACGACTTTTGTTTTGCTTGTACGTGAAGAAATTTTTGGACCAATCATATAGGTATCCCCCTCGTGATGATAATATTTAAGACGGGCGCCTAATATGAGTAAAAAAAAAAAAAATCACATTGAAAAATTGTATTTCAGTGAGCGTCTCGTGTAGCGATGATTCAATGATTGTGTCGTTAAGATCCCAGGGCTTCAAGGGCCGAATGTTTGTACTAGGAAGGCCAGAAGAATGCGGCGTTAACGGTCGCCATACAGACATGACAACGATTACCCTACCGATCGTTGAAAACCACACTCAACGCAATCGCTGTGACGTCGTTGTGGCTAAATCGGCAAACAGCAACAGGAAATTGGCTACAGCTGTTGTCGTAGTACAACACCATCCGATCATACAAACCGTCGGCGATCGGGTGACAAAAGTGTCGTGTGCTGTGGGTTCAAGTCCCCATCCGTCGTTCTTGGCGTCTAGACCGCAGAACATCACTTTAGACGCCACGTTTGGTGTGGCAGAACCGAGGTATGCATAGTATTTTGATGAGCACGTGATATCTCGACACCGTAATTTACAAATGTCATGCTCGGGTAAGATGGTTTTCAAAACATGTAATCATTACCAATCGGGATGAATGTTCGATGATTAGGATTAATAAAAAAAAAAGTATTCTAAATATTCAAACTTTTCGGACAACGGTTTTCGTACAATATTTAGGTAGCCACGTAATATCAGCAAATATATTCAGAATAATTTTACATGCACACTAATTTTTTATTATGATCGGTAGGTAGCGAATATAAACAGTAGTCATCGCTCTTCGGTGTCTGTTTTTCAGAACCGATGAATCGTTTTTTTTTTTTTTTTACAGCACATTAGTGCAGCACATGCTCTATAGAAAATACTATTATGTTTATTACACAGTTTCATCATTTGTTTGTATGATTAATTACATTTTTCTTTATATTGTTATTGTTTTTAAGACAATTATAAACAGTTGAAATTATACGCTTAGTTATAATTTTATATTTTAGTGTGATCATTAGAAGGTGTTAAATTGTATATAAAAATTATCAAACAATTAAAAACTATAGATTATTACTTTTAAAATACTTTTTGAAATTAGCAGTTTTAAAGTACTTAGTTCAACTGTATTATAATTTTATTAATCCAAATTCTGCATTTTGAATACGACCAATAGTATGACAATTATTATTATTATTATTACTACTATTATTATTATTATTATCATCATTATTATTATTATTATTATTATTATTATTATTATTATTATTATTGATCTAATAGCATACACAACACAATATACAACGACGGTGGGTACGATCCGAATGGCTTGGTTGGTTCGGCAAATCAAGTCGCTAAGATGAGAATTTTGGAAGTGGGACGAAACGTAAAACAAGTATCTGAAGTGAAACTTGGCGATGAATTGGAACTCCGGATTGATGTGAATCAACCATATAGTAAGGCATTTCCTTTTATCGCTTTGATCGTATATTGACACATAAATACTTAATTACGTCTGAAACAATTGTTTCAGACGCGACACAATTAAGAGCAGGACACTTGATTGCTAGTTCTGGAGATGGTCTGGACTCCTTGTTACTTTTAGACTGGAGAGGATGTCCTCCAGAACCATCGACATTTCCGGTTTTGAATTTAACACCACCAAATTCAATGGTCGCAAGATTCAAAGCATTCCGATTTCCTTCGTCGCCTGTACTGCGGTTTAGTCTCATGATGATGTTTTGTGATCAGCTGTGTAAGCCAGTAAGTATATTTAAAGTATTTTAGGTTTTTTTTTATAATTATTTAGTTAATTTTTTTTTATTGGATTTGTTTCGAAACACATGTTGCATCGCTTAATGTCTTGTAATTCGTTTTACAGAGTGATTGTGGAAACGGACAAGTGTCACATGGTCGACGAAAGCGTGATGTACATACCTCAGAAACTAAGACAAAAGAAGTCCCATTACAACTAGCAATCGTAGTACGTTCTCTTGAAGAACAAGAAGAAATTATAGCCAGTCAAAGCCAAATTAGTAATAGTAACAATAATAATGACAGAACAGCTAGAAGATTGGAAGCTTCAGGTATGAATCAAACTATTATTTTCAACTACATCTAAATTGTAAATTTTAAACTTCGAAAATTGAGGAGTTATGCCATATATATAAACCATTAACAGTTATTCCATTATCATAGACATATCAAAATATAAATAGTACGATAAAATTAATTATCAGCTTACTTATTTTAGTAATTAATTATTTAATAATATTTAATCTTCGATGTGATGTTTAGACTATATTACTTAGTAAAATTTATTTTTTTTATTTATCAACACAATTAATATGTATTATTAGGTACTATGTTATAAATAAACCAATAATTTTAATATGTAAATTAATCAATTGTTATAATTTAATTTTTTTTAATGTTTATGTAAATAATGAATACTATATTCTAATCAACAATTAATTATGTTATATTTTTTACAGTAATTCGAAACAATGAATGGTGCATTACTTGGCCAATAGGATTAGCGATCGCTATAATTCTAATCACTATGCAGACATTAATGGTGTTAGGCTGTTGGTCATTTTTTCGACGATCAAATCAAAAGGTCATTAATGATCGTGTGACTTTAAACTCTGACTTTCAACCAAGGCATGTCACTTGGGCCGACCACCAATAAATGCCTATGAAATTTACCTAAAATGATTTTGTTTGTACTTATGTACGTTTACCATTTTTTTTTTATGTATCGTATATAATTATATCCAATAACTTTATGTACAAATTAATTATTTTATTACCAAAAATATATTTATTTTTTAAGAATCGACGGGAATACAACAAAACGTTAAGTTGTAAATTAAAAATAATTGTATACAGAGTGATACACCTAATCATTAAGCATGCTCACCCATATGTACTACTTTAATTAAGCATATTTTATTCAAATTCTTTTTTTCAATTTCTTAAGCGGTACTCTTAGATTGTGTGTGCCATTTTAAGAGTGTAGCGATGAATAATTTTTTTTCAAATGAGATCAGATCGTATTTATTACAAATTACTAAGCAGATGATTTTTTCTTACTACTTAGTTTCTAAGTTTTAGTCTCGTGTACATAGAACGTTAATGTGTCCAAAATCCATGATAATATGATAATATGTTTACATGTAACGACAATTTGAAAATTTAATCTATTCTATTTAATCTAATAGCATTTTATAATTTATAAAAATTATCTGAATAGATCTAATACTTTATGCTAAATATTAAATCTATTTTGTGCAGGTATAGCGGTTAGACAGGGTTACATTGATGGTAGGTATTAACAATCTAAGTAATTGAATATGTTATGATATTTAGGTAACAAAAAATCAAAATTTGAATTTGAATAAATGCATTGTTAAAGGATGAGACAGAGTGAGCATGCTTAGTGAATTACCCTGTTTATACTATGTTATTGTCGTATAAGCTAATCAAAAGCATATTTTTTTAATAGAATTTCGAAATAAGGTATTTTAGGTATTATGAATTATAATTTATGATTATTAAATACAAGAACATATCAAATATTACTACCAAAAATTAGTTAAGATTAATTTAGCAACAATGCTATTCAGAGTACCCACGACCAGTGACAGTTTGTTATTGTCCCATCTTTGTTTATCGAGCCAATATGAAAATTAAAACATAAAGTTTAAACCTAAAAAATGTCCACCTGGTGAACGAATACACAAGTGGTGTATTATGTTTCTTGTCTATTAACCTAAATTTAATAACAAATACAATATAGTAAATTTGCTAATAAATTAGTTTGTAATAAAATATTATAAAACTGATACAGTGTTGCGAAATATACGAAAATTTCAAGTTGGTATATGTATATATAATAAAAAAACAAGTGTTGCTAACTCTATGAGTATTATTAATATTAATTTTTTTTTTTATAAAATAGATTCATGATATTTTGTATAAATTATTTAATTATTAATAATTAATTGTAAAAATAAGGTATTATAATTTATTGGATTCGTATGAAAATTAAATATATGTTTCAATTTCCATCAAGTTCTATCTAGCTTTGTCGATTCATCTATAATTTATTGTAATAATAAATATCCTGACTAACTTCAAATGTGTATATGTTAAGTGCATAATACACTATACCCCCTACACATTACAGGCATACTATGTACTTATGTGGGTTTCAGCACGTGCACAAGATCAGCCCGGTCCATTTCCTATTGTTTTCAATTTACCTGAAAACCTGTTTACCATAGGTACTCAATGTATTGAAACGAAATCTTATTTGTATACAATATAAAATTATCGATTAATCTTAAAGTGTTTTTAACGAAATATAGGTAATAATATATAAGTAGATATTTCATTAAAACAAATTAAAACACACAATAATATTGTCACGAGGTTTAAAAATATCAATTCGTAATACGTTAATGTTTGATTTTTTGCCAATCGAATTTATGTGTTTTTAATTTTTTATACCAATACTCGCAATACTTATATGAGCAATAATAAGTCTGCAATAATCGTTGGTATACGTTTAAGAAAACAACAAAAAATATAGCACAGAAAGCTAAAAATTTGTTTTGTTGATGAAAAGAAGGGAAATTAAAAATGCTGTAATTTTTTTTACTTCGGTTTTTTTCATGTTTATATAATTTTTTTCTCATTTGGTCATATTTTCATATTACATGAACTATACAATGGAAAACTATAGTTTTATTTTTACCGAATATCGATTATCGACTTGTTTCCCATCGAGTCGCATTCGCATAATTTTATAATCTATTTAAAAATATTTAAATATATCCCAAGTCGTGTTTTTCAGTTTACTTTTTGTCTACTTTTTTACGCGTTTTTTTTTACTTTAGTAACATCAATATATTTTCAATTCGTGGAATTATTTCTTTTAGTACCTACACTTGGAATTAAATGAACACACGTCACTACGCCAGTCGATCGTTTTTCCCTTTTTCGTTTATATTTTATTATTTTGTCATTTTTGTAGAATATTTTTATCTCATATATAACTCGATATTCCAGAAAATATTTTAATGCATATTTTATATACGTTGTTGACTGCTTATACAATAATCTATCCCTATTCCCAAGTGATAAGTATTAAATATTTTTCATTAATTTCTTAAAATAGTATTTGTACAGGAAAATTGAGTTATAATTGCGAATTTTTCGTCATCGTCAATGAGTGTTTCATTAAAAAGTGTAATCTTGAACATTTCTTTTTCTTTAGATTTGTAACTATACTAATGGAGGATATAAGGATGGCCGCTCGGTGAATTAGATCCTCTGATTTTCGTTTATAATAGAGCCTGACGTCTTGCGATGTTCTTAAACTTTTTTAAACTTTTTATATTCTTTATTGTTGACTGCCGCTGCTTCTTTAGATCAACTCCAGTCGGGCGCTCTGTATATAGTTCACAAACAAGCTAATAATAAAATGAGAGCCCTGAAATAATCTTTCACGAAAATGTAATTATAATAATGAATTTATAGTCGGTTTTGAATGCAGTAGGTACATCCGTTAATTACACATAATAATATTATATACACTATACATAATTGACCGGACTTGTAACTAGACAGCTATAGTCTAACATAGTTCTACTACTCTATTTGTATTACTATTACTATAATTATTATTTATTGCCTACCTCACGAACGGATGTAACAGAAATCGAATACCCCCAAGTATAATGTAAAATATTACACACCTTTATATTATATCATTCTTGTTGATCGGGCAACTGCCCGTCGAAATAAACAAATATTTTGACAAAATGTTTCCAAGAGGGAGCAGAAAATATAATATACTTTAGCTAGTCTGCAGGTTAATTTACATATGAAATGTATTATAATTCTTGTTTATAAATTGTTAATTATATTGAAATCCGTGGGAATGCGTTCAAGAAGCAAAGTCAGTAAAAAATATTCCTAAGAGCAAATCTTGATAGACAAACTTCAAAACCTATAGGTTTGCATTTTGTGTTCGACTGTGATTTAATTCAGTCTATATAATATCGAGTCTTGCAATTTGTGTACCTGCAAGATAGGCACATAATATGCTACGATGCAATTTGTTGTTTATTTATGCGACACACTCAACCATAGTCGACTTGTCCTTCGCAACATTTTTTTACCAAAAGTTATTTTTTTTTAAACACATAATAATAGTAAGTACCTACAGTAATTATTGACATAAGTTTTCATTACCTCATCTACCTAATAGATTTTACTGAAGGTAATGATAATATCCTAGAATATATTAATGAACGGGAAAAGGTAAAAATTAAGGGATGCACTTTGTGTATGTGTAAATATTATATAATTAATAATAGCAAGTACTTGAAACTAATAAGAGGAAATGAAGCCCCCGGTTCAATGCCAATGGCAAAATCGTCATACGCCGAAACCACAGCTAACCCACTACCACCCTAGCAACCACTGTACAGTGCACATTCATCACCAAATTCCTCGAAGAATTGAAATCAATCCTCAACTTTCATCTTCTAATTGCACTCATATCCGTATTAAACAAGATCCCACACCCATTCCATAACATACACACACACACGCACACGCACACGCACACATGCGCACACACACACATAATACTACCTTGCATAGCCTTGCATCCATATCATGTTATTTAAATATTTAGTGGCATAGACCATAGTATATTATAAGTAGTTATGTTTTATTGTTAAGTTAAGATATTCAATTAATTGTCGAACTATAACAACTTTTAGTCGAAGCTCAAATAAGTGTAAAAAAAAACAGAGTACCTAAAATTATTAACCAAAGTTTTCATTACCTATCTATACATTTTACTGATGGTAATGCTAATATCCTAAAATGTATTTAACCGGAAAGGGTAAAAATCACAACTTTTAGGCTGTAGTTTGTGTGTGCATAAATATTATATAGTTAATTTTGGGTAGGAACAGGATTAAAATCAAACATATTTTTAAAATATACATAATATAAGTACTTACATACAACAAACAACATCGCGCTTATATAAAAAAAATAAATCCTAATGAAAACACATAAATATCAATTATGAGATTGAAATTTCCTGGAAACAGTTAATGGAATATTAAAATAAGTGAACTTTTATAATTTATTTCATGAAGTCAGAATACGATACATCAATAAATTTATCCATAGTTTTTTCACTCATAAACTTTTCTTCGTAAAACAATTTTCTCATTTTTTTAATCACTCGAAAAAATATGAAAAATATAATTTGCCAAAAGTATCACATAATAATTTCAGTTTTATTATCTTATCCCTTAGGTACATAAAACAATTTACTAAAGTTGAAATTTAATTTATTACACTTTATGTAAATACCAAAACAAACGTAAATTATCTCATACCATTGAATAATATCGTATTAAATATACTTAAAAACTTTTAAACTTATAAATGTGTATATTTAATTTTCTTAAAAAGTAAAATGTATTAGTCATGTCATTAATTATGTAATAGTTTTTATTTTAATAATATAACCGTGCGAAAACTGACCATAATAAAATACATACATTTTAGCTTTAATAATAATAATGTATTCCGATTTTTTAAGATAATGAGATTAATATACATTTTTATATAAACCGAATATTGCTTTAAGCAGTGAAGTCAAAGCATCAAAATAATAAAATATGAATGATTCAAAAGTTTAAATGTTATACAGTGATAACTATTTAGATATATGCTTAAATAATAGTATAAAAAATAGAATTATTAAAATGTTTTGTACACATTCAGTAGGTATATTATAAAACAGATTCTGTAACAATAATAAATAAATAATACAAATAATTGAGTCAATTCAAAATCGTTTTTTTTCTTTTTTGTGAATAGTGTCGTACTTTAGATTTGGAATACCGTATACATGTACATAGTAATGTACGTCAACCTCACTTCTCTTATAAGCCAATATTAGCTTTTTTAAACCTCGAATCATTGCGGGGACAAGAAGGATAAAGTTATATCTCTGCTTTATTTTCAAACTACTCAACGGACTTATTATGTATTGTTCAATTTTACTTGCCAAATTATATATGTTTCGATTCCTAGTTGTTGACAAGTAAATACTTTCTAAGTAAGTACCATTTCAGTCTACAAACTATATTAAAGTCTTAAACCTATTAATGCTCCCTGTTAAAGATGTACGAAATTAGTAAATCAGTATACCCTATAATATTCAAAAATGTCCATGCGTTGATGTTTTTAATTTATATTTAAATAGGCAATTTACTTTCTTAAATGGTCTGTATCTGATATATAATCTTAGTATAAATTGTATACTTACAGGCTACAACCGTATTCCAAACTGTCTACCGTATTTTTATTTTTACTATTGGGAAACTGCGTGTCTAAGTAGATAAATAAAAATGAAATAGAATAATTGTTTAGTGTGCCTACTTAATCAGTTGCATTTTGTATTTTTGTTTATAATAATCTGTATACGGATAACGGCTGTTAATGATTCGAATATTTCAAACTAATAAGTATTAATTTCAGTTGTTTGAAGAATTTAGGGCAATCGAGTAATTTGGCAATTACTATACAACGTTTTGCCAACTCAGCTCAACTGCAGTATATAAAATGTAAAAAAAC